AGTCCTTCCTCGGCCTCAGCTTGCAAAGCGCTGAAGACGTCGTTCGCGTAAGGCACGAGGTAGACCGGTAGCGAAGCAGGAGGAGGATTAGCAAATACGTCGGTGTCAGAGCCCTGGCCGAGATGCTCGCAGGCGGACTTCCAGCCAGCCTTGAAGTAGATGTCTTGTGTTGCAAAGACTTGCTTCTTGTAGCTCTGCTCGGCTTCGTTGAAGCCGGCGTTGTTAGCAGCCCGGCAGTCTTTCTTCTTCGACTTTTTGAGAGCGTTTACCTCGGTCTGGAGCTCATCCCGTTTTTTCTCGGCCGCATCCAGCTGACCGAGCAGTCTGTTGTTATCTGCATTAGCCATCTCAAGCGACGACTTTGCCCGGCCGAGCTCGGCTTGGAGGCTTTCGACTTGGCTGGCGGTGTCACTCGCCTTCTGCCGAAGTCTGTGGATGCGCTCCATGACCAAGTGCTGCTTTTGGATGGCCTGCAAAATGAGAATTTGATCAGATAAGAGACCGTGCAAACACTTGCGTTAATTGAAGCAGAAGATTGAGCTTCTTACCCTGGTCATTGACTTCACGGCGGATTTGACTAGCCGGGTGTCAGGAACGTGGTCGCTTCCAACCACGTCGCTGGGCAGCAGCAGAGCCTTTGAGAGGTCGAAGGCAAGAAAGTGCTCCTTGTCGCCTTTGACCGAAGCATTTGCCGGTATCTCCTTGCCCCGGTGCTTTAGCTGCGGCCGCCATGCTGGGATGGAGCTGACCCTGTCAGCAGGTTGCTCGGTTGTCAATTCGGCGATGAGCTCGGCTGAGGGATTTGCCCGTGGTCTTTTGCCAGCCCGACGTGTTTCTTGGCTAGACTGCCCGGCGGCTGGAGAAGCTAAGGCGACCACGGCAGCGCTTGATTGACCAGCAGCCAGGGAGCGGGCTACGACGCTCGATATCTCGGCCGAGGTTGCAGTGAGAAGGTTTTTGATTCGGCTTCTTTTGGCCATTTCTTGTTCATCTGTCAACCGGATTAAGGGGACGTCACGAAGGGTAGGGTCTGGAGGTGGCGAAGGAGCACGGAGGAAGTCTGTTACTCTACTCCGGCGCGGAGCAGAGTACCTGTAGGTCGGGGTGTAACCGAACAAATCGTTGCAATCTCGGTGGGAATATTGAAGCACGGTCCAAATTGCCCCTACGTTGGGAAACTGATAGTTGGCTTGCAAGGCTTCGATTGCTGCAAAAGAAACAGGAAAATCGGTTAATTACAGAATAAAGTGGTAAACTGTCCGAGCAAGTTTGAGCGGCTTACATGAGGAACCGAAGTTCTTGTTTATAAACCAGCCCGTGACCCATTGTGTATTGCCTCAATATCTCGGCTAGACCTAAGTTGGTGCCTAGCCGATTGTTCAGTTCATGAACGCCGTTGATAATTCGATAAGTGTTGGTGGACACTTGTGTGGGTGCCAGCCCGGTGCGGCGGAGGAACTCGGTGATGAGTGGGTTTAGTGGGAAACGGAGGCCTCCTTCGACAATTGACAGCACGGTGAAGGGGCATTGGTCTAGTCTGCCCCAGGGTGATGTCTCCTTTTCAGCCAATTCGAGATGGACGTCGGTTGGGATGCCGTACTCCTCTCTGAATGCAGCTAGCGCGGCCGGAGTATCCACTAGGAAGCGGAATTTCCCCATTTGTGGCCGGACTGAGGTAGCTCGGCTGAGGTGTTTGGCACAGTGGCAATTGGTAATTGCTCGGTCTTGAGAGCCTGAGGAATGGACAGTGGTCCCCTTGGACTCTGCAGGAAAAGGATGGCAAGTGTAAGTGTGAGCGCGGTCGCGCGGAAGGAGCTAGACTTTAGCTCGGTCATTAAGGGTGCCAAACCACCTCGGTCTTCTAAGCTAACTAAAGAGCTCGGTCGCCCAGGCAGGCAAGTTGTTAGCCCGGTTGAGCGACCATTTCCTTGTGTTATCTCGGTTTTTGTTTGGGTCGAGACAAACATGTTATTTTCTCGGTTAGATTGGTTTTTTGGATCAAATGAAGACCAGGAGCCCGGTCCGCCCCAGTTCTTCAATGTTCTTCATGAAAAACGAAGAACACCATGAACAGTGGCAAGTTTTGAACGATTTCTGTGGCTACGACCTAAGAACTACGTTTTAGTGCCCTAATGCGAGAAATATTTAAGAGGATAGTAACAAAAGAGGGATTGAAGGTCTTACCAGCGAGGGGCAACTGCTTTTCTTTCAAACACGGACGCAAAGAATGGCAAGCGAGGCTTGGAGGAAGACGCTAGAGCTCAGGCAAGTCGGGTTGCAGAATGTCAGTAGGGGGAAAATGAGAATGAATGGATCTTGTATATATAGACGAAGAAAACCGCCCAAATTCAAATTCTGGCAAAAACGGCGGGTTGGCTGCTTGAGGACCAATGGCAGCCCGCCACGTGTCCCTATTTATGGCGACGTCAGAACTGAAGAGACAGCTTGAAGAGTCAAGGGGCCAACCGGGCTACTTTGGAAGAAGAGGACGTCAGCCGAGGAAGATAACCGGGCAAGTTTGCCGACAGTAATGTTAACTAGCCCGGTCGCCCTTTGGCATTTTGAAGACCGAAGAAATGTTATCCCGGTTGAAGTGAATAATCCCAGTCACGCTTTCGCGGACAGAATTAAGGGGCAATTGAGAGGGAGATTTATGATCTGGAATTGGGCCGAGGTAATGGCTGAGCAGGTTGAGAGCCTAATGGTGCATGGGGCCGAGATGGCCGGCGATCCACCCGGAGATGGGCTGCCAGAACTTGGGCCGGGCAGGAGTTGGGCCAAGTATGTGCCGCCCCTGATCGTAAAGTAGTTGCCCGGCAAGGAAGTGCTCGGTTGAACCGAGCTGCTTGATCAGCGGATGGAGGAAGCCAGTCAAGCTGAGTGACCGGCGCCCGGAAAGGCGTGGTCAGCCGAGGTAATCGTTTGATCGGTAGGAAGGCCGACCACAGGAAGTGCCCCGGGTTCGGCTTTGCCGAGATGCCGCGTAGCCCAGTCTTCCTTAGACTTAGGCAGTGAAGTGCTTGGGTATGAAGCACAGCAAGGTCGAGGATGGAGCAGCTCGGCTGCCGAGCTCCAGCTGAGAAGGCAGGCAGTTGAGATTAGGTGATGTTCAGCAAGGTTTACGCTGACAGATGGGATAACGGAGCCACGTGTTAGGAGATGACTGAGAGTGGATATGGGGCGCAGAGGATATATAAGCATGTCTGCGCCCCCCAGACGCAGCAGGTGAACACTTTGTAAGAAAACCCCTACACTCTAACACTCCTCTCTCTCTCTCTTTCTCTATCCTAAGGTGTGTGCTAACTTGATCGTTGGAGGGTTTTTCCGGCCACACACCGCCGGGCAGCTCATCGTTATTTGCTCGCAGGTGATCAGACATAAACGGAGCTTGGAAGAAAGGAGTACGGGCTTGCCGAAATATAATCTCCCCGTACAAACATCATACTTTTTTAAAAGGAGAAAAAAAAATAATCCTTGACTACCTTTGTTCATTTTTTTGTAATTACCAAATTTAAATACATTTATAAATCCTTTATAATTGCATATATGTAATTTCAAACAATTCCGATTGGTAGCACGAAAGTCTGATAGCTCGAATGGCTCGACACCAAAATGACGTCGTTTTGGTGTCTTTTTTTTTTCTTTTTTTTTTCGCGTTTTTCTGAATTAAAGAAGAAGAAGAAAGCTGAAGAAGAATAAGAAGAGAAGAAGAAGAAGAAGGAGTTGAGTTTCGGCATCAACAAAAGGAGATGATGTTTAATCTGGGTTTCGACATAAAAAAAAAAAATTGGTGATGATGTTGAAGAAAACTGATGATGTTAACCCAATTTTTCTTGATGTCGGGCAGAAAAATGCAGAAAAAAGGAAGAAGAAGAAGAAGAAGAAGAAAAATGCAGAGAAAATAGAGAAAAAAAATGCAGTTTGGGCCATCATCTTCATCAACAAAAAAAAAAAATTCCTCTACAGATCCGGATCTCATCATCAATAATTTTTTTTTTTTTTTTCAGATCCAGATCTACTTAGAAAAAATGCAGATTTTTTTTTTTTTCCAAATCCAAATCGATTCATCGCTCCAACATAGCTTGCACCGGATTGGGATATCAGATTTGTCACAAATCTGTTCCGACTCTCTCCTACTCCTTCTCTCATTTTTTTTTTCTTCTTCTTCTTCTTCTGTCATCTGTTTCTCGAAGGAAAAAAAAAAAAAAAAAAACTGCCCAAAACAACATCGTTTTAGGCAGTTCGGGCCATTCGAGCCGCATGAAATTCGAACTATGAGTCATTTTTCAATTTCAAAATTCAAGCACACTTATCTAATGTTACACACTTGCTAGTAATAGGAGAATTTAACATTAAATCATTTTTTTTAAAAAAAGAAAATGTTATGAACTCCAAATAATCTACCAAATCTCATGAGTGTGGGACTCACACAAATGTGTGCGTCCCCCACCCATGTGAAAGATTTAATAAAATATTTAATAGATTATTTAAAATTTCTAGTATTACCCTTTTTCAAATTATTTGTTTGACATGAAAAAACAAAAAGTTAAAAATAATATATTATTGTATTGAATTTTAAAAAAAAAAAATTTACAAATAAAAAATTTTCATTAAAATAAAATATTTAAAAAATTTTACTTTTGGTACTTGACAAATAAAATGGGAAGGAAGGAATTTATTTATTTATTTATTTATTTATTTTTGGAAAACCGGGTCGGTATATTGGTTGAAGAATTGCCACCTTCCCATTATTCCTCTTTGAGTCTCTCTAAAATTGCCGCAGAATGGCGAAAGAGGTTGATCTTGAAATGGCGGAACAAGCGGCGGAGAAGGAAGAGCAGCAGCCAGATATGCCGCCGGAATCGTTCTGGTTGTCCAGAGACTCCGAATTCGATTGGTTTGATCGCAACGCCATTTATGAGCGCAACGAGTCCACAAGGCCCAACTCCAATTCGACTAACTTGAATCCGAGTTTGCATCCCAATTCCAACTCCTCATCGCACAGGTTTTCCATAAACTTGAAGTCTAAAGCATCGGTTATCGGATTGCCCAAGACCACTTATGCCGATACCCCGAACCGGAGGAAATATAAACCGGCCAACATCCGGCTGTTCCCGAAGCGGTCCCAGTCGATTGGAAAATCGGAGCCTTCATCGCCGAAAGTCTCGTGTATGGGGAGAGTACGGTCCAAGAGAAACCGCCGTAAATCGTCGAATTCGGTCGAGAAATCGAGAAGTGGTGGTGGACGGAAGGGAACCTGGGTCTGCGGGTGTTTCACTGCTATATTTCGGTCCGACCGGAAGTCGAAAGCGGTCATTGAAACCGTTGAACCGCCACTGGTGGAATCGCCGCCACCGCCGAGAAGGAGCGTGACGGTCAAAGTTGGTGAGATTTCAGCGAGAGATGAACCGGAGTCGGGTGCGTCGGTGGAAGAGCCGCCCGGTTTGGGAGGAAGCCACACACCGCCGGGCAGCTCATCGTTATTTGCTCGCAGGTGATCGGACATAAACGGAGCTTGGAAGAAAGGAGTGCGGGCTTGCCGGAATATAATCTCCCCATACAAACATCATACTTTTTTAAAAGGAGAAAAAAAAAATAATCCTTGACTACCTTTGTTCATTTTTTTGTAATTACCAAATTTAAATACATTTATAAATCCTTTATAATTGCATATATGTAATTTCAAACAATTCCGATTGGTAGCACGAAAGTCTGATAGCTCGAATGGCTCGACACCAAAATGACGTCGTTTTGGTATCTTTTTTTTTTCTTTTTTTTTCGCGTTTTTCTGAATTAAAGAAGAAGAAGAAAGCTGAAGAAGAAGAAGAAGAAGAAGAGAAGAAGAAGGAGTTGAGTTTCGGCATCAACAAAAGGAGATGATGTTTAATCTGGGTTTCGACATAAAAAAAAAATTGGTGATGATGTTGAAGAAAACTGATGATGTTAACCCAATTTTTCTTGATGTCGGGCAGAAAAATGTAGAAAAAAGGAAGAAGAAGAAGAAGAAAAAGAAGAAAAATGCAGAGAAAACAGAGAAAAAAAATGCAGTTTGGGCCATCATCTTCATCAACAAAAAAAAAAAAAATTCCTCTACAGATCCGGATCTCATCATCAATAATTTTTTTTTTTTTTTTTGCAGATTCAGATATGTACTACCCAACAATACAATTAAAATAAAATCATTCAAAATCCTAAACTTACTTAAAAGTAATTCTTAATAAATTTTATATTCATCCAAAATAAAATGCAATAAGAAAATTTAAAAAAATAAAAGTAATTCTTCATTAATTTTTACATTCTTCCAGAAAGAATGAAAATGAAGCAAGAAAAAAAAAAAAAAAAACTGCCCAAAACAACATCGTTTTAGGCAGTTCGGGCCATTCGAGCCGCATGAAATTCGAACTATGAGTCATTTTTCAATTTCAAAATTCAAGCACACTTATCTAATGTTACACACTTGCTAGTAATAGGAGAATTTAACATTAAATCATTTTTTTAAAAAAAAGAAAATGTTATGAACTCCAAATAATCTATCAAATCTCATGAGTGTGGGACTCACACAAATATATGCGTCCCCACCCATATGAAAGATTTAGTAAAATATTTAATAGATTATTTGAAATTTCTAATATTACTCTTTTTCAAATTATTTGTTTGACATGAAAAAACAAAAAGTTAAAAATAATATATTATTGTATTGAATTTTTTAAAAAAAATTTACAAATAAAAAATTTTCATTAAAATAAAATATTTAAAAAATTTTACTTTTGGTACTTGACAAATAAAATGGGAAGGAAGGAATTTATTTATTTATTTATTTATTTTTGGAAAACCGGGTCGGTATATTGGTTGAAGAATTGCCACCTTCCCATTATTCCTCTTTGAGTCTCTCTAAAATTGCCGCAGAATGGCGAAAGAGGTTGATCTTGAAATGGCGGAACAAGCGGCGGAGAAGGAAGAGCAGCAGCCAGATATGCCGCCGGAATCGTTCTGGTTGTCCAGAGACTCCGAATTCGATTGGTTTGATCGCAACGCCATTTATGAGCGCAACGAGTCCACAAGGCCCAACTCCAATTCGACTAACTTGAATCCGAGTTTGCATCCCAATTCCAACTCCTCATCGCACAGGTTTTCCATAAACTTGAAGTCTAAAGCATCGGTTATCGGATTGCCCAAGACCACTTATGCCGATACCCCGAACCGGAGGAAATATAAACCGGCCAACATCCGGCTGTTCCCGAAGCGGTCCCAGTCGATTGGAAAATCGGAGCCTTCATCGCCGAAAGTCTCGTGTATGGGGAGAGTACGGTCCAAGAGAAACCGCCGTAAATCGTCGAATTCGGTCGAGAAATCGAGAAGTGGTGGTGGACGGAAGAGAACCTGGTTCTGCGGGTGTTTCACTGCTATATTTCGGTCCGACCGGAAGTCGAAAGCGGTCATTGAAACCGTTGAACCGCCACTGGTGGAATCGCCGCCACCGCCGAGAAGGAGCGTGACGGTCAAAGTTGGTGAGATTTCAGCGAGAGATGAACCGGAGTCGGGTGCGTCGGTGGAAGAGCCGCCCGGTTTGGGAGGAATGAAGCGGTTCGTATCCGGTCATCCTAAGGTGTGTGCTTGGGATACGGATGACATGGACAAGTGAACCGATGCTTGCGTGGCGAAATTTGATTGGGTGGCTGGTGGAGATGGGCCCACTGGAAGAAGAAGTATGGTAAAAGTCGTGTGGTGACGGGGGGCGGCCTGCTTTTTGTCAAGTGGAGTTGTTGGAAAAACATGGTCACGTTGAATCACAGTTTTCTCACAAAAGGTCAAAAATAACGGATTCACACCCTCTCTTTTATTTTTTTTTATCGAGCCTTTTTAACTGATAAGTTTGTTGTAAATACACAGTGATTTACAAATGAGTGGATGTAAATTTTTTCTTTTTTACTTTATGCTATTTTTTGTCATTGATTTTGTTAATAATAATCACATTTAATTATTATATTTTGAACATCATTCATATATTACTATTATATTGATTAATGGATCAACAGCAGTTATCATTCAACACTAATATTATTACCTTTACTATTCGTCGGCTTCTTTTCAAAATAATTTTAAAAATATAAAACTTTGTTTGGTTTGTTTTTCAGAAAAATTTTTAGAAAAAATTTTCTACAAATAAATTTTTAAAAGTAATCAAACTAAATAAATTTTTTTTAAAAAAATGTCAAAATTTTGTTTGGTTACATATTTTCTAAAATCACTCTCTTTCTCGTACATATCAAATCAATCACTTTTTTTAAAACTCTCTCTCAAAATAATTTTTTAAAACCATTTCTGAAAAAAGATAAATCAAATAAGTTTTCGTACTTTTATCTTAAAAATTATTCTACAAACACAAACCAAACACATCTAAAAATCTAATACTATTACCTTACTATTCTTCATGTTCTTGATCTTCTAAAAAATATATAATAAATTGAACAAAACGAAAGAATACACAAACACACAGGACGGAAATTATTCACTTTGTACCACGAGACACGCAAGGTTTTGGTCTTTCTTGACTGCCAAAGTACTTTTGGAGGTTTGTGAACATAATCCACTTTATAAGATGGGTCAAGATTTTTTAAGGAACTGATTTGAGATAAATTTTTATCCCCCAATAACTAAAGTATTAGTGAATGCCCAACTGTACCGAAATATACATGGTAAATACTAAGGTTAAGTTTGGCATGTCTTGAAAAAGATAAAAAGTCAAAAAGTCACTATCCTATTTAAGTCATATCATCTTATTTAAATCACATCACCTCTCTAACACATCACTTCAAACCCGACCCAAACCCAACCCATATTTCATAAAAAGTCAAAAAGTACACTAGATCATCCCAAACAAACCCTAATTTTATGTTTTTGGATTCACTTATAAAATGGAGAGTGTGATGATGTGATAGAAAATGGTTTCATAAATGCAAGGAATGAAGGATGGGTAGCTTCAAAATTAGAGTAGAAGCAGGTAGTTAATAAGTAGGTGTGCACAAACATAATCAACGAAAAGAGGGTGGATACGGTTGAGGAAAAAAAAAAGGAAAAAGAAAAAGAAAAAGAAAAGAGAGTAGATAGGAGTTGGTAACTTGTTTTTATAACAACTACTTCATTTATACACGTTTTGAATATAAAAAATATTAGAAACTTTAAAAATTCTATCTAGATTTCTACCAAATATCATATGGTGTTGATCTAAGATATTTGATAGAACTTTTAGTATAACTTTTAAAATCTTTAGTATTACTCTTTAAATATTCAACTATAGACTGATTGAGGTATGGTTTGGGAAGTGAGTTGGCATTTTAGTTTTTTTTTATTATTTTAGCTTGGGGCTAAAAAGTTTAGTTTGAGAAGGACTTTTGGCTTTTTTGACTTTTTTATGAGAGAAATAATATAATGATTATGGATTAGATGTAATGTTTTGTCTTATTGAGTTAAAAAATTTATTTTGTATTTTGTGACTATTTTAGCTATAAAAAAAAAAAAACAGCTTTTTTCCTGCCAAACCATGCCATATTTGCAAGCAAACAATTTCACCTTTTTGTTTTTTTTTTCATTATTTTGTTTGTATTAGTGGTGTTTTGTTCAGATAACCTAATCAATTTTTTTAGTGTTAACCATATATATAAATATATATATTTATCTTTTCTTCTTGCTGGAGTGTCAAAAAAGTCTTTTAATCATGAACTTTCCAGTCTGGTTGATGGATCATGGCGCCATGAATATATATATATATATATATATTGTTTGATGTTTGCTTCACCATATTATTATTATTATCAATAAAAAGAAATTTATTGATGAAAATAATAAATATGAGATGAACATTAATACTCAAAAGTGGCTCAAATGGCCAAAACGACGTCGTTTTGAGTACAGAACAACATAAAAATAGCCAAAACGACGTCGTTTTGGCCATTTAAACCACAAATTTTGAGCTATAAGACATTTTCCATAATCTTTTTGGTGGGCAAGGAAACCCTTGTTTGTACTTGTCCACCATTGACTATTAAGTGGTAAGTTTTTAAGTTTTGATTTAAAAGTTTAATGAACTTTAATAAAGTGTTTTTTTGGTTTTATATCTTTTAAATCGATCTTAGACGAATTTTAATTCAACCAAGTTCGAGTAGATTATTTTTTATATAATTTTATAATGTATATAAATTTATTGATTGAGCTAAATGTGCTCTAAGTTTTGGTTGTATATATAACGAGTCAATCTCAAAAGTCAAGCTCAAATATCTTGGTTCATTTTACCATCCTAATTACTATAAGCACATGATGCAAATGTCCGTTAGATTTTTATTTTCCACTTAAAATCGTAATTGTTGGTCATTGCTTACTTGGCTTGAAAATTAGGGTTAATAGCTTGGCTTAAGAATAAGTTCCATCATGCTATATATGATCAAGAAGCTCTTAAGCATTTCAAGACTACAGAGAAAATGAGGCTAATTATTATTGTATTGGTCATTCGTGATTTATGGACAAAGCCAAAATTAAATCTTTAGTATTATTAATATAAATTGCATAGATGATACAATGTCAGATAATTTGCAGAAGTATAATTAACAGCTTGATGTACTGTATTGTATGTATGTAGCCTTTGGGTGAATTACATTGAAATCTGGCCCTCCTTTTTTTTGGGGAATGCAAAAATATTACGAGTTCTTAATTGGTAGTAGATCGCGGTTAAGATCTCTTAGACGACATTGACAAAATACTACAATTTTAGTTAAGCTCATCGTACAATTCAACAATTCTCCCGTTCAAGGGTTGCACAAGTCTCGAGTTGCTCTTACATGTTGGTTGCAATGGAGCCTTCAAAGCCTCTATTTGTGCTTTAGATATTGATCTAATCTGCATTTTTGTAACCCATAATCAAAATTTGTAAATGTACCTTTATGTACTTATGTATGAATATAGAATGTATTCTGAGTGTAGAACAAAGATCAGAATAACTTGTGAGCCGAACCAATTCGATTTTCATGGATTGGTTGATAAATTTATAAAATTTTGTCACCAAACTGAAAACCGAATCAATTTGGTCAGTTATAATTATTTTCCATGTTAAACCTAAAAATTGAACCATTTCTATAATCAAATCAAATCAAAATTTTAGTTGAAACACTTCACATATAATCACAATATGATAAGTCCTTTTCAATTTGCATTATAATAACTAGTGGGTGTGTGCTTACCTAATGGATGTGTTATTAAATCTATAAAATATAAATTTTGATTTTGATTTAGAAATATATATGTTGTGGGTTGTTGAAGTGGTAAAGATGTTGTTACCCAAACCCAAAACATCATAGGTTTAAGTCCCATTCACTTCATTATTTAATTTTTTGTTTTAAATAATTATTATAGGTGTATTTTGAGAAAACTCAAAATATAAGACACATTTGTATCAACACAACCAACAACCTTCACATATTAATAGTATAGAAGATATTAATAGTATAGAATATAGATAGATATCGATATAGAAGACAGATAGATATAGATATGAATCAAATAGACCGGTGACCACCCCTAATGTATTGTACATGTGTGAAAAAAAATGTAGTACCTTGGGAAAGACATTCCAGATGACATTCTCGGAGCAAGGAGGAGTGGTGAGAGAACCAACATATCTGTAATACTTGCGGGTGTTTCTCCTCAACTTCCAAGCATCGAAGTTCTCAACAGCAACTTGAGCTACTTCATTGTCTTTGCAATTCTCCTCAGCTAGCTCATGCAATTGATTTTCAAACTACAATTGTCAAAACCATGTTAACACAAATTTTACAATACAAACTAAAAAACAACGCTTAATTAATGTGTGTTTGGGAGCGAAAGATGACTTGAACCCATAACATCAATTGAACTAACGGTCACCTATAAATTTTACAATACAAACTAAACTGTAAAAATCAAAACAGTTGGATTAGTATATATCAAGAACCATGTATGAGAGCTTTACCCTGGCAATAATCGGATCAGCATCACCAATTTTATAAAGCATGGCTATGACTGTGAGGCTTCCATCGTTGGCCATGTGGACTAGATGAATCTCTGCATCAGCTCTGTAATTATCAAAATTAGTGGTTAGTTTTTGCTATTCACAAAATATTTTCTAAGTAAGAGAAAGAGAGAGAGAGCATACGAGACACCATCAATTGTGTGCTCAGAGGGTGTATGCCAGTGCAGTTGCTGAAAGGTGTAGATTTTACCATTAGCAGTCAACTGTCCTGCATTTCCAAATTTCATCTACAAAGAAGAATTCTTCATTTAGCACAAAAACCCTTTGTTAAAGAACATGTTCCATAATCAAAATCACAAAAAAAAAAAGTCAAATTATTCGCTGTAGTGTGTAGTGTGATATTATGAAACACGCACATCTCACTATTTATTGGTGTGGGTCTACCATTAAATGATGGAATGTTCGTTTCAATAATTATTTTACAAAAATTGAATGTACAATAATGCCATCTTAAATAGCTTAGGATTTGTAAGAGCTCATGAAGTTGTGCTTGAATGTGAGTATGATTGTAGGGTGAATATAAGATCTTAAATTTGTGGTTCAAAAAAAACAAATTTTCCATCCAAAAACAAAATGATTAGCAAGCTCAGTTTTCATAAGAAATTGTGCAACAGTTTTATGTTTAACATTAAAAAATGCAATGACATATGGTCTATTGAGAAAAAAAAAAAAAAAAAAAAAGGGGGGTTAAAATGCTTATATACAACTCTTTTAACTGATATTTTTCACAAAAAACAAACTTTCCACTAATTTTTCACAGAATTAGAGCATTGAATTTAACGTAAGTGTATGACATTTTAGTATAGGGAAAAATATATATTGCCCTTTCTTTTCTTCCTAAAAGCAAACTTTCCATAATTGTTCTTGTCCTTTTCTTGACCGACCTAGAACCAAGAAAAAATATCATTAGGCTCTTTCACTTCATTTTCTTTTTTATAATTTTCTTTTTCTTTACAAATCTAAGATCTAACCATGACATTAAGGAGGTGAGCTTTGGACAATCTTACCAATTGCCAAGGAAATCTAATGTCACTATGATTTCGATTCATCCTAACAATAACTAAAAATGTCTTTCTAATAGCACGCACCTTGTGCCATTGTGATTGAAGCCCATAATTAAATAAAATTTCAAGATAATTTTTGACAATTGCACCCTTGCCTCAAATTGAGGAGGTCTAATATTTTAGACTAGGATGATTGTCACTAAAGTAGATGGAAGACCAAAGACATACCTCAATACTGTAGCCACTGTTAACCAATGTAGCATTTACAATATGATACTCCCTTTTTAGAGGCTTCAACTTTGCATTAAGAACAGCATTGTTTGTTACAATGTTTATAGGAGACTGCAATTTTCCAGTTGAGCAAGTCGCATAATGAGGATTCAAACTTCCCCACTTGCTGGGGCCGATGTCGCCAGTGTAGCTAAACCCAGGAGTTTCTTGACGCTCTAGTGGAAATTTTAACAAAATAATTTAGGGTTAATTGATTCTTAAATATTTACACCATTTTTTTTAACAAAAGTAAAGTAATTGATGCTGGCAATTGAAACACAAAATAAGCATGCAATTAGTGACATTATAAATGGCATTCAATCTCTACAATTTAGAATCTTTGCACTATATAAATGGGTGTATTTCATGTATTGAATACATAGTGTAATCTGTCAAATGAATGAGATAGCCCTTATGTCAAAATGAACAAGACACTATTTTTTTGTGTGTTCATTCTTGTCCGTTATTTCTCTCTTCCATTGTTCTCTCTATCTAAAATTTAACAATAAAAAAGTAACATTACATTAGTTATAAGTTACAAAGTTATTACTTATATATATTCTTTCAAACTAAGTCATCACTGAAATGCATGGGCCTTGGGAGGACATAAAGAGAATTACTTCATTTTATTTTAAAGCTCAATTTGATTATCAAAACATGATGTGGAAAACGAAAAAATAAATGAGCACTAAAATTTGAAAAAATCATTGAAATAATAAATATGTTGCACACAAACCTGCGTATATAAATTTTCAAAAAATCAAAGCGCAACGAGTACAATCAAAGCAACACCAAAATTCTTTCAATATTTAAGAACCAGACATGAAAAAAAAAAATTGAGTAATAAAGAGACAAATTAATCTCAATAACTTTCCATACATTTTATTTATAAAAAAAAATAATAATAATCCATTTTCACAAGACTATACTGTATGGGAATTGCAAGAATCTTTAAACAAGTCATAAAATTGAATATGACAAAGCTTTTGACTTTGCTATGGAACATATTTGGATTTAAGCAAGTCATAAAACATGTTGTACAATATTTCTAAAACTATTTTATGTTGAAAAAATGCTAAGACGGTTCTTTTAAAACGCGCGCACACACACGTATATATAAGAGACAAGCAAACCAAATTTCTATGGAATGAGAAATAGGTACAAAGGGTACAAGCAAACAAAATTTCACGTTTCTGTGGGGTGTGTTTCTGAGAGAAAGAGATAATACCCCCTGAGGTTAGTTCTGAGACTTCTACTGCATTGGTGTGGATAAGCAATAATGCAGTCGCTACAACAAAGAAGGCAACTCGGGCAGCCATTGCAGGTGCAAGTTCTGAGTTTGTTCTCAAACCTACAATATATATAGACTTAATGTTTACAACTGTATTTAGGATATGATTGAGTATGTGATTCCTTTTAACCTTACCTTTTCAGCCTAGTTATAGGATGTGTATGCCAAACTTAGCAGTTTTTCCTCCAAAACTTTTGGAGCACCTTAAATTTTGTATATGTTGTCTATCTGTATAAACTAATTGCGTCCACCAGTTTATTTTTGGGATTATTAGGGCCAAAGCGGGATTTACTCATAATCAAAATTACAAGCAAGCATCTAAAAATGGAAAAATTCATTTGTGCTCGCATTTTGGTAGAGCCCTTGATTTTTTTTTTACTATTTATTTTTATTTTTTGGTTTAAGAGCTAAAAATTGTCATTTTTTACTAGACAATAATAATAACTATCTGGAGATGTGAATAGTCATTTGTGCCCACACTTGAGTCAAAACTTGTAATTTTATTTATTTATTTTCCTTTTTATGGTTTCACAGCTAAGCATTCCTCTTTTTAAGACCATATAACATGATCCGGAGAATTGCTATGGAAGATTAAAACCTAGATTCAACCATTTTACTGATTTTAGATTAGTCTATTCTTTTTCTTAATCATTTTTCCTTTAGTTGTTTTAATTTTTTTTCAATAAAAGAAAATCTTTATTGCAAAACCGATAAAAAATCAAGTCAATCAAGTACGGCGGTATCACAAAATCTCAAAAAGAGATAAACAACTACCATAAAATGAAGGATCCAAGCCGGGTGCCTCTATTTACACACCACATGTGGTCTCAAGGCACACCACTACTCAGTTCACACCTTTAATAATTTGAAAAAACATATAGCTTGTTTGGTTCTGATATTCAGAAAATTCTATTTTTTTATTTTTCGTATTTTAATGTTTTCAATGATTTTTTTTAATATTTTAGCAATTTTTTTTAAAAAAAAAATTTAGACACACCTAACATAAATACACTTAAAAAGTATAATATTTGTGAAAAATATTTTTAAAAATTAAAAAATATACAAAAATACGAAAATTGTATTGAATTTTCATTTTTTTTTATATTTTTTGGTATTTAGTGTATTTTTTAAATATTTTTTTCATAAATATTATACTTTTTAAGTATATTTATATTAGGTGTGTCTAAAAATTAAAAAAAAAAATTTGTTTAAAACATTAAAATAATTCATTGAAAATATTAAAATACGGAAGATAAAAAGGTAAAATTTTCTAAAAAACTGTTTTATGAAAATCAGAACCAAACAAGCTGTATGTTTTTTTAAATTATTAAATGTGTAAACTAAGTAATGGTGTGCCTTAAGACCAAATGTGGTGTGTAAATAGAGTCACCCATCCAAGCCTCCATAAAGAAGGAGAAAAGGCCCCCCCACAAAAGAGGGAAGTAAACTTCTACACAGGCTAGATTATTACATCAACAAACGAAAATTAAGAAAATCAAACAGAAAAAATACAAATCCAAGTCGCTACTAAACTCATCCAAAACTCTACTGCTTTGCAACCTTCAACTTGAAATCTGAAGACCTCATATCTGTTGGTCAAAATATAACATTGAAGCTGAAGTAGTCACCTAGCGTGAAACAAATGCATTATCTAGTGTTGACTTTCGGACTATGAAAGACTTTGAAGTAAGACTTTAAAAGTTTGGATTCAAGGGTGGAGAAGGTAAAGTTGTGATGGTTGAACTAATAAGGCAAACATCAAAGGAGGATCGAAAAAAGAAGAAATGAGAGAAAAGAGAGATCGAAAAGGTGTGGAAACTACCGCCGTCTCCATCTCCCCTAACAAGAAATTTCATAGAGAAAAACAAGAGAGATTTCTAGGGTTTTGCCTCTTTTACTCCTTTAGTTGTTAAACTTCTTTATTCACATTAATCGGTTCATTATGTATTAACTGAAGAGAATGTGAAAACAATATATTTGATTCAATAAGTTGATATCTTTACATCAGTGTAGTATATATACACCTCATACATGATTACTAATGACTCTTCATCTAACTAACTCTAACAGAATTCTGTTATAGGTCATAGAGAAATGTTCTGTTGTGGTTGAGGGATCACCATAGTAAGGTGAGTTAGCTCTACTGCTGTTGCTACTGATGCTTTACTATCCTTATCATCCCCTTTAGGCGAATAAGAGGAGAGTGAATCATGAGCTTATTCTTAAGGAGTTGATACTTGGAAGTGGACAAGGCCTCAGTAAAAACTTCAGCAATTTGATCATTAGTAGGAATGTACTTGAGGATGAGTTTCTTAGCTACAACTTTCTCTTGAACAAAGTGGCAATCCACCTCTATGTGTTTAGAATGGCTATGGAAAACAGGATTAGGAGCTAGAGAAAAAGCAGAAAGATTATCACACCAAAGAACAAGGGACGAAGGTAAAGGAGCAGAAAAATCTACAAGCAACATCTGAACCCAAGTTAATTCAATAGTTGTGTAAGCCAAGGATCGATATCCAGCCTCAATTGAAGACCTAAAAACAGTTGGTTATTTCTTGGAAGGCCAAGAAATATGGTTTGAGCCCAAAAGCATACAATACCTAGAAGTAGATCTTCTATTAAAAGGATTAGAGTCAGTAAAGCCTTGTAAGTGAAAGGAACTAGAAGAAAAGGTTAAGCCATGAGACAAAGAGCCCTTGATATATCTAAGAATGTGTTTGATGACAAAAGATAATTCAAGCTTGGTTGTGGCGCCCCAAAAATCGAGAACATCAAAGAATATATATTAACAAGTAAATACAAAGTTTTTCTAAAGTTATAAGTGTAGGAAACGTCACTAATGAGTCATTTGATCAATAACCAAGTAAGATCCCAGGAAAGATCGGATGAGTCAATATAGCCTCCCTTCAAAGTCCAGTCTCCTTAAATAGCAAAGCTACCTTTTTGACATATCTTAACAAGGTATTAATACAAGGTCTACATAAATCAACAGAAGGATAATGATAAGTTCACAAAAAATAAATGTATATATAAGTAAAATAATAGTTACAAGATCATATCTTAATTATGACAAGAGCTTTAACATTTATAATCCCAAAACATGATTACTAATTCCTAATTTTTCTAGGATAGTCATATGTCTTCAAATATTTATGTTTCACCATCGTCTGCGTAAATTTCATCAATGCCTGGCATGAAATACTATGAGTTTGGAATGCCAAGTAAACACATTCACACCCCGTCCCTTTTGCTCAATCCAATATACAACCACATTTACAATAAACAAGAAGGGTAATAATCAGGTAAACATGAAAATGATTACAAGTTAGGTGTTAGTAATCTAGAAATTCTCTAAAGAGATTTTATCCTCCCAATCACAAGAATTGGGTTTGGATCACTCAGTATGCCCCCTTCTTTTAGTGCTTTGCAAATTTTACCCCGGATGCCTACAAAGGTTACATACCGCATAACACCAACTGAGGACCTCAAAAGAGACGATAAAAATATATAATCACCTCAAACTTTATCTGTCATAAGTACCTAAGGTCCGAATACAACAGATCCATTCAAAGGTTCCGAAACAATCACTTGCGCAAGACTTAATCTTCTTTTAGGGAACACGCCCTATCAATCCATGATTATCTCATCATTACTCAAGTGATCAAAAACCCAATACCACCCCATTTAGTGTTGGTACAATTCACCTTGAATTCTTCAGTTGGTGGTCTTCGAGTCTTCAAAACTTGGCGACGAACTTGTCTATATAGAATAGAAATTTGATGCTTCAAGTCGCGTTACTATGTCACTTTCCTAAAGACAATATTTTCACCCACAAAAAGGTGTGCAAGGGGTTACAGCAAATTTGCCTCCTGGATACAATGAAGCCTGATCTAAAGATCAAGTTTACCGACGTCTGCATTGACGATAGTAGATCAGAATACTCTTGATATAATCAAGAAAACCAAGACTAATAATCAAATTTGCAAAACTTGATTACCAGTAAGAAAAGCAGAAAATTGCTTAAGGAAACTCTTGATCGAAAACTCAAAATCAAGAAAGAGGGAGAGAGAGAGAGAGAGAGATAATTGCAGAAATGCTTATGAATTTTGTGGATTGAATGAAATGGCTAATTTCACAGTCTAATTATAGGCCTTGATGCACCTGATTGAATGATCATGTCCCTTGATCGCATCTGATCAGATCTGTTCGTTGAATCGACAATCTACGGTACAGATCATTCTCACACCGAATAGATGCCTTGACTAATCACACCTGATCACAATCGGGTGCCATCTCATCCGTACGATTGCGCACATCTCCAATCAACGGCTATGATCAAATTGCTCCAGATTGGACATACAACCGTTCGACCGCCAACGGACGCCATATCACTACCACGTAGAGCTGACTATATTCCACGTCACCCATGCCATGTTGGATCCATGTCATTACTCCAACTTGTACGATGCAAATAGGAAAGCGCCCTCATGGCACCTTGCGCCGATGCATCCGGGTTAAGTGCATTGCGCACATGTGCATGTGGTGCGAAGCATCATCCTTGTGGTGTGAGTGCATGCAGACTAGCTTTTACCTCACAATTCCATATTGAAAGGAATATTCAATTTAGTACTTTATTATGTGTTCCATGTTTTCCTCTCTTTCTGATCTAGGATAAAGTCCCCAAGCTTATTTCAAGCTTTCTAAAAAAAAACAAAGAAGGTTTTGAAAACACCCAAAAATTAAATTATACATTTTAAAAACCATTTTGAAAAATTTCCCAACATTCCCCTACCATTTTCAAAATACCAGATGATGACTCTTGGGTCACTTAGCAGCCTTATGCATAGGTGAAGATATCTTACGATTTGAATCATTCACTTAGTGAAGACATCTCAAAGTTTGTCAAGATGGCATAGTAGACTTGTCTTTGAATTAGCGATCATATACGACTAACTAGACATGTCTCACGTACAGTACATGTTACCTCAAGTATTCAAACAAACCGATACGTGGATTGGCCTTGTGTCTATATCCCGTTTCATGAGCACTCTAGAGTCAAGCCCTTGGACTCATAGGAAGCGGCACCATATCCTACACTCACAT